ACATGAGGAGGAGATGGGATGGAGCTGTATAAAAGGCTTTATAAAACACAAAATAAAAAGAGATTTGACATTTAATCTGACTTAAACACCTTATGTTAGCAATGTTAGCTTGATTGGCTTTACTGAAATAGCTGTGTCTCTGTAAAGATCCTTAACTTTATTCTGAATTTTCCAAAGTGTTGCTAACAGGTAACAATCCAGAACTGATCTATCTAGAACAATCTAGAACAAAAGCTGAACCTCACAAGATTTAAACTAAAGTCACTGGACTCTCTTCTGTCTTCCTGTTATCTGTTTTAGATCCTGCCCTCTCCAACAGCTTGAATGACTTGTTGTAAAAAGTTGTTTCTTTGATATAGCTTCTTAAATCTCTTTGCACTCTTTATTTTTCAACACCCCACCGCTAATGAAAACAGCTCAGACTGGATGTTCATTACTCAGTAACAACATCTGCTCTGAAGAGTTTCCACAATCGCCTGGTAGAGTCTGGTATAATGCATTAACTGATTAGTAGGGCTGGGTATTGTTAAAAAAATTTCGGTTCCGGTACCAATACCGATACCTTCACTTCGATACCGGTTCCTGAACGATACTTTTTTCGATACCAGTTTTATAATATCAATTCGAAAAAAAAGAAAATTACACAACATAAAAAAGTACAAATCTTGAGTTTTATTTTAAGCTCTGTTTTTCCATTTACATTTTTCCTCTTACATAAAAAAATAAATAATTCAGTGTCTAATATTCACTGTTACATTGTGAGGACCTTTTTACTTAGCAGTTTTCCTTTAGAAAAATTACCATGTCTGACAAACAAGCCCGTTGAATGGGATCCTACTGACAGCGCACCGCTGGTATGGGGGGGGTCTGAGCGGCTCCGACAGAAATATTGAAGGCAGGATGAACTGACTGCACTGATTACGTTTTCAGGTGGATTTTCCCACTTAAAAACATAATAAAACTACTTTATTCCCACTGATCACAGCAAATATAGCTGCAAGGCAAATAAAGGATAGAGTAGCTCCGCCCAACGCGCGTCTGACCCACTTTGCGACCGCGCAGCCAGAGCATCAAAGCTTCTTCAGCAGCGCGTCAGAAGCTGGTACAAGCAGCAAAAATGAAGCAGCAGACGAGATTTTGCTGCTCTTGCTGCGTCCAGTTTGAAAGCAGCATGATTCACTCCGCTCTGGCTTTGCTCTGCCCACGGGCTGCTGAGAGGAGGATGGTCGCGCTGGCTGCGGTCCGCTCTTCTTGCAGTCAAACACAGAGCGACTTTCTGCTCTTAAATTATTTCCGTGCACGATGTATTGCATTGTGCACTATTAGCATCAGTCTTAATAAAGTGAAGCCGCACTTTTGACCTGGGGGGCATTTTAAAGGGGTTCCGCGACGCTGCAACCAGTTCACAAAAGATACACATGAACCCTGGCTGTAGGCGTGACCACCTGTGTATTTTTCCTGGATGACGCAATCACCTTAAGTGTTCCAGCCAATCACCGAAACTTGGTACCGAAAGACGAGGCATGTTTCGATACTCTGTAGAACCGAAGCATTTCGGTCGGTACCATAAAAGTACCGAAGTTCGGTACCCAGCCCTACTGATTAGAAAATGTTCCATAATTTGAGATTTAAATAAACTGTTACTGATGATGAAACTGGTGAACTCCAGTGAATAGAGGTGTAATAATACATTGACCCCTATCACCATCATTTAGAAGAACTTTTACTTTGAAATTCAATAGGCATACACCCATAGAGAACTGGCTGTCTTTTAATGTTATTGTTTTTATAATGAACGCTGTTTTTGATTAAATTCCCAAATGCTCATAAGAGCATAAAGTAAAGTTGGGTTTTGATATCAGAGACATATTTAGCCCTATGTCCTGTAGTGATTATCATCATATTCTAAATTATTTAGCATTGAGTTAAATGCCTCCTGAACAACATATTATTTTTTACAGTCAGGAAATATCATTCGATAGATTAAATCAAATCTATATTTATTATTCTTTCCAATCTTATCCCCGATGCCTCAAGGTTTCTCTAAAGCAATTTTGACATTTTCTGAAAATGGGAAAACCACACACAAAAAAACCCGCATTTCAGTCAAAGTCAGGGTAAAAACATGTAAGAATTTTTTTAATGGAGAATTTTTAAAGGAGGACGGGGAGCCATTACTACTGATGGCTTTGAGCTCAAACCCAATGATATGATGAGCCTTAGTTTCACGACAAGTGGAGTTATTCATTGTGAGTGACAGGAAGACTGCATGCTGTCTTGTGCCATAACAGCTTCAGTTTTTAGATTGACACAGTCAGAATAAACTCAGAGCGCAGTGACAGACTGGAGCAGTCCTGCTTTGTTAAAGTTCACAGCATTATCTGGGGGGAAAAGTAATTTTGTAATTAAGAAATTTCATGTGCTGCGATTTATTCTTTATTTCTTCATTTTTAATCAGCTTTGTTTGTGTGATTAGCTGTTTTTCAAATTACTTTGATGTGGCTAAACCTAAAGGGACAGTTCAATTATTTATTTTAATGGGGTTATTTTTAGGTTAGAAGCAGCTACCTTAATACCAACAATAAATAACTCTCTTTGGGCCGGACCTATCAAAGGTTTGCGTGTATAAAAACGTGAGCTATTTCACTGCGCACGCTAAAAAATTTACAAACTGATCTATCAACAGCGTGCTAAAAGGATTTGGTCTTTAAAACGTGCTAAATAGCGCCTCTTATCCATTTAGTACTTTTTCTGCAATGAATATGCAATATGGGGCGTTTACACGCAAAAGTGCGTCTTGGGGGAGGAGAACATGTAAATATATTAATTTATCACTCGCAAAGTGATTTATTAAACCTGAAAGCAATTTTGATAACGGTATCTGACTCTATATTTAACACGTTTCAAAAGAAGGTGCAAATGGTCTGTATGCGTAATTGCGCACACATGGCAGCGGTTATTGTCGCAAGAAGGAGACATCGAAATGAAGCAAGGAGACGCAGAGAACGCATTTTTTCACTCCGTGTGAATATTTTTGGAATGAACGAGGAAACGATCATCAAAACACATCGTTTATCCAGCATTGCCATTTTGGAGCTGCTGGGGGAACTCAGAATGGATTTGGAGCCAGCCACAAGGAGGACCCACGCAATACCAGATATCACAAAACTCCTTGCAACATTGAATCTCCCAATCTCTTTTTTCAGAAGTGCTGTCCGACGTTATAAATGCCATGTCGCCCTGACGCCCTAACGGAGAACCCCGACCTCCCCCCTGCACATGTGGAGCAACATGCCAATGCTGCGGGGATGCGTACGCAAACTACAAACTACTTTGCCGCAAACCACAAAACGCGCAAAACCATCATTTAAATAGGGCGTCTCCAACAGTTTTGCACCTGCCACCAGTTACGCAATCACTCTTGTTAAATCACCCGCAAACCATGGTTCAGCCCCTCGCGCAAAATTCCAGTTTGCGAGCGCAAATTACTGCACGCAAAATTGGATCTTGATAAATCCGGCCCTTTATGTTCTATTTAGTTTAAATACAGATTAGACCATTCGGAAGGATACATTTAACAGCTTATTTAGAGGGAGTCAGACCAAATGTAACAAAAATCATTATGGTTTCTTTGTTAGCAATCTTTAGACAGCCATTATTTCTTCATTGGGAGGGTTATTTTAGAGGGAAAATGGGTAAGAAACTGTAGTCTACAAATGATCCTCCTGTGTAATATATGTACTGAGAATAGAACTGGTAAATACTATAATTCACATCACCCTAAGCTCCTATGCAGATGTTTTTTTTTTTCTTTTGGGGGTAAAATAACACGTTTTGTAACTTTTCTACTGTACTCTTTGTAGAATAAGGTTAAGAGGCCATTTCGTTAATATCACATGAACTCAACCTCCTATTCCTAGTGTTGCAGAATCCTTTCATTTCCAGATTATTATCGTAACCAGGAGTAAATAATTATATATTTTAGACCCGTCAACAGTCATAAAGCAATTATTTACATACGATCTATTTTTTTTAATATATTTTTTATTATATTTTTATCAGTAAAATAAAAAGAACTTATTTTATGATTTATTTATTTTGAATTAATTGTGTTATATTGGTAAATTGTATTAGTAAATTTATTGCTTTTATCCTGCAGCACTCAAAATCTGTGAATGTTTTAGTTTATTTTAATTAATTGTTTTGATAAAAATTCTACATGAATGACTGACCTACTGTAAGGGGGAATCCCTGATTCAGATGTTTGAAATCTTAACTTCTGAGGAAAAACAGAACAGACAATAAAACAAGGAGCATTTGTACGGATCAGCATAATGTTAAGTTTCAAAGAACGCACTGCTTGTTAGTGTTGTGGCAGGAAAGTAACACCTTTTTCAACATTTCCCCGATCATTGTGTACAGGGAGATTGTAATTAAAACATTGTCTTTATTTTTTTTTTGCATAAAGAAAACCAAAGTGCCTGATATAAATAATGGTTAGAAATCAATCAAACAGCATTTCCCTTATTTCTGCTCTACTTTTATCAGATGAAATCCTTTAGTGCCAATTGTTATAATGTGTTTTGGATTAGAGTTGTTCTGAGACTGTAGAAACCCATTTGTTCTGAGCTCCACTTCAACAAGCAATTTTGCATCTTAATAACCTTTTTCACAGAACTTAACAAAAAGTACAGCCCCTTTATTAAACAGTTTTTTTTTTTTTACATAAATAAATCAAGTTTACCTAAATTTGTTATTTCCTGTTAAACCAAAGTCAGATTCATTTTAAATAGACATCTGACTGAATTACAATTATTGTCTTCAGCCAAGAAAGGATGAAAGAGTAATAAAAATAGAAACGGAGAGACTGTAACAATAAGAGACTGCCATTGATCTATAATCCAGTTGCGGTTTCATCCTAATGTACCATCATGACACTTGATTGACACTGATATTCACATGCGATTCTTTACCATGTTTCCATCTCTCTTTCCCCGCAGGGAGCCGATTTGGAATCAGAGGTGACAACTAATCTACATCAGAGCCCGAAAGCTAAAAAGGAAAAAGAAAGAAAAGAAAAACGCAGAAGAAAGGGAAAGAGCTGCTGGTATAGGAAGGAGAGAGCACACTCCTACACGCCGTCATCCCTCTCAGCTTCCTGGAGTTTGCTGTGTAAACAGCAGGCTGAGAGGGCAGAGTTGGGAGCCTTAGAGAGAGTTACGTGGGGAAGAATAGTGCAGATGGTGTGGCATCATCTCCTTCCCTGTCAGCCCCACTTCAAAAAGTAAGTATAAGGATTATTTTCTGTATTTTAATTAAAAAAAAAAGACAAAAATGTATCCCTGAGAGTCAAACAGTAAAACCCCCTTAAAATCTAAAATGATTATTCCACCCTTTGAATCCAGGTGTAGGGTAGTGTGCAGTAGTAATTTACATACCATGTGGTTGAGCTCAGCTGGAGGTTTTCTGTTATGAGTCAGACTCTCTCCTTCCTTTCTCTGCCCAGGAGTCTGCAGCATGTTCTTGATAGATTTAAAATTGGAAGCAGATTTCTGAAATATGGTTAAAGGTTTTAAAATATTCCAAGGCATTCCTTTAATGGTTTGACAGGATATATTAGTTCCTTATTTCAGACTTAATATTGAACACATTGCATGTGAAATAACCTACATATATTGAGAGTATTAGAATGTTATTCTGATTTATTCATCTCATAATAACCAATATTACCCCGTTTTTCATGCGGTTTTCTGACCATTTGAAATTCTTCACAGAAAATATATATATATATATATATATATATATATATATATATATATATTTATTTATTTATTTTATTTATTTTTTTTTTCTGTCTTTTCATTTCGACTGTTCTGGACTCCTCTGACTGTTCCTATACTGAGAACAAACATTACAAAATGCAGGATCGATGCTGCATCATGTTGGTATCATGTTGACTTGAATTTAAAAGCAATCGGACAGTAGAGATACATAAAAGCAGATTTGCAATACTTTTTATTTTTATTTTATTTTTTTATTCAAAGCACCCTTCTATGATGTAAGTTGGGCTGAGAACAAAAATACAGTGATGGTTCTATTCTAAATTTACCAGGAGGCCTGGGTTGGTCCAGTGTTTTTTAATGTGGAACACATAAAAAAGAATAAAACCAAAAAAGCCCAAACAAAACAGTTCAATGGTGCATAGTTTAGTATGCTGAGAGAGTCACCAAAGATGCAGATCCTTGTCGAGCAGCAAGAAACTATGATCCTATCTTAATCTGCCTGAACTGTACATTTTATTCTCTAAATATTGGTGAAACTGTAAAGGTAAGGGAATAAAATTGTACAAGGGACAAATTAGTTACGGTCTCTTGTTAGAACATCATGATTATAAGAAAATTATTTAGTATTGTCCATAGTAAAGAGGCCATAACAAGGGCCATGACCAGTTCCACAGGGGCGCTGGCCCACTGGCCCCTGTCTAGAATGTCCATGCAACCTACCAAGCAGCAATCTGAGCCCATCAAGCAGGCAAAGGGAAATTGACCATTAGAGAGGTCCATCTCTAAAACACATTGGATTTTCAAAGATTCGAAATAATAGGCGCTCCACTTATGCGTGCAATTTTTTATTTGTTGCGGGTGATCTACAAAGATAGATGCGCAAATTGTGAGATCCACCAGTTTGGCTTCTCCCCATTAAAATAAGCAGATTGCATCTTCTACTGCCAGCTGAGAGTGGTCATAAAAGAAAAATGAGGTTCTAAGCCATGTAGTCGGGGGTAATAATGATAAATACAAGTTATCAAATAAAGGTCATTATAATGCTAAATAATATTAACAGAGCATTTATTAAAGTTATTGAAAAAATATTTCCTGACATCATTAAGAATAGCAAGCTGTAGAGCAAACACAAACCAAATCAGAGCACCTAGTTGTATTGTCACTCTTTCCCACTTTCTAGCAGTAATTAAATCCAACATAAACAAAGTCATTAAAAACAAACTAACACTTATCAACAGTTAAACAGTGAGCCATAAAGCATGATTGTCCTCCTCATTTTCTTCTCATGGGCCGGAGGCCAAAAACAAAGCACTCACTAACGGTTTCTCTAAAAGCCAGCACCCAATAGAGGAACCAAACTACTTACAGCACGTTGTTTTTTTGACAGGACACCACTATTTCAAGATGCTCAGATTTAAGCCTGTATATGTGATATGAAATGTGCCCTTAAATTTCAGACTAAATTAAGTGTACTCCTGAATCATTTGATTCATCCTTATCAAGACTAATTTAATCTATGATTACCACATTTTTACTAAATACCACATTATGACTGCAAGAATAATGATATAGGGGATTTGTTACAATAAACAGGCACTCAGCCTGTTCTTCATAGTAGAACCCTCCCCATCTAAAGCTGCAGTACATGAGAAACCCCATACATTCTGAAAAAATTTGAAAATGAGTACTCTTGATTTTTGGCAGGAAAAATCCTCCATAGACAAGCATCAAAGATGAAGCAGCAGAAGCTTCTTTTCTGCTAAAATCATGCTCGGTGTGAACATAGCTTCATGCTGCTGGAAGTAGCTTGTATTCCACTTTTCAGGGGAAAACATGATAGCACTGATATTTGTCCTGTCAGCCAATTCCCCTACCTGAAGTGTGGATCTCTGCATCCACAATAAGGTTATCCTAGGGCAGTGGTGTCAAACTGGTTCCAGAAAGGGCCGTGTGGCTGCAGGTTTTCTTGCAACCAAACAATAGCACACCAGTCATCTCATCAAGTCATCATGTTAAGACTGGACTCACTTGATGAGATGGCTGGAGTCTAGTGTGCTATTTCTTGGTTGGAAAGAAAACCTGCAGCCACACGGCCCTTTCTGGAACCAGTTTGACACCCCAATCTCAGGGCCTTTGCAATATTTCCAATTAAGACTCTCCCAGTCAGATCTTTTAGTCTGGATAGGGGTTTTTGGTGCATTTTCAGGTTCCGCAATCTTGTTCTGATTTCAAATGAAGGATTCTGAATTGTTCCCTGAGACATGCAAAGCTCTGGTTATCGCTTCATAACCCAACACCTTCATAAATTTCTCCCTAGCCTGTATGCTGTTTTCCTTGGTCTTAATTATGCTGTTTGTTCTCTAATATTCCCTAAAAACTATTTGGATTTTATGGCTTTGAAATTAGCTTGATTGGATTGGGTTTATTGAGGGGTATCAAACAGAAGGGAGTAACTACTTATTCTCATCCCACTCTTTAGTTCCAACAGCTATACATCTTTTTCCTTCTTTTCCACAATCATGCACTTCTCTGTATTGGTTCGTCACACAAAATCCTTGTATAATGCTGTAAACCTTGTGATGGGAACCTGACCAACTGTGAAAAGGTAAGGACTTGTGTACTGTAAGCCGCTTTTCGAACCTACACCCAATCTCATGTCGTTGAAAGACAACTAGAAAGCAATCTAGAGAGAAATTACTTTATGTAAGTGATTTTCTGTGTTGCATTGCTGTTGTAATTTCCTTTGAGAAATACATTAGTAGCCAAAGTGGATTTTAACTGGATGGCATTTTGCCAGCATTTATTACTTCTGTCAGTCCCAGAGATTGTTACTGTGCGTTTTCACTTTCACCGAGAAGCCTGACAAAAGCTTCTCAAAGACAAAGAGACAAAGACACAGAGAGAAGCGGCTGCAAAGCAAAAAAGGAAAGATAAAAACATTTCGAAAAGCAGTTGCGGAATATAAAATGTATGTTAAAAAAAATGCAGAAAAAAGAAAACTCACTTGATTATGAAGCTTAGTGATGGCGTGAAAGAAAACTGAGCCTTAGTCAGCAGCTTTATTGTTCCCACAAGAACCATGCTCATGTGGAGACATTTTTAAAAGGGAGAGCAAGGACGAGAATAAATATTTCCAAAATGAAAGTCAGAACTTCCTTTTTTTAACCCCCTGCAGACTAAGAGTGGGTCCCCAGACATCCCTGCTGTGTGTGATGCATAAAAGAGTTTGGTTTTTATAACGTTTGTAGTTTATAATATTTGAACTAGTATTTGGAGAGCTAAGCTAATCCAAGTCATAGAGATAGAGAGGCATACATTGAACTGGGGATGGATGCGGGGACATCATCCTAGCTGCACATTAAGGAGAATAAACTAATGTTGGACCACAAAAAGGACAGAAATACCAGGGAAAAAAACAACTTTAATTAATTACTGCAAAGATACATTATAACATAACTTGCTCTCTCTAGCAAGCCCATCCCTTAGGGAGCAGTGAGCAGGTTGTGGCTCTTGGAGCATTCTGGGATTGTAAAGCTCTTGCTCAGGAACCTACAGTGTTAATCTGTGGGGTTTGAACTCCGTTTTTACTGCTTTCTTCAGAACTCAGCACTCTACATTAACCACCGGGACACCACTCTTCAAAAACCTGTGTTAAAGCAAATAACAATGATTCACAAAGGAAGGAAAGGATTGGACATCCAGGCACGGCTGGTGTGGGTTGTAATCCATTGAAGTTAATGGTTGGCTGACTTTACTGTGTTTCATACAGAGCTGATATATTTTTTTCTTTATATCCATCAAACTTTCTACTTTAATAGTGGGTGGATTTCACCTTAATTAGCCACCCTGACATTAGATCAATTACGTTAAAGTACAGTATGTGAAAGTCAACGGCGAGAAACTGCATTGAGCTCATTTTCTTTCATTTGAATTCACCTCCACACCCCTACACAGTGGTCTACGTTTGAACCTTATCGTGCAGCAATTATCTTTCCCATGGTGACTGCTTCTGCTCACTTTATAACCTCTTGTGAGCTGAAACACATATTCCCATATTTGAATTGCTTCTGTTTTTATCTTTTCGTTATTTATCTACTTAAAAAAATACTAATTAAAAGCCAATGCAGTGCTAATTACAATTTTTTATTGATTTAGGGAGCTGTAGATGTGTTGGGCACAAGGTTGAATAACAAAGTTTAGGTAAAGCACATCTTTGATCCATGAATGATAAATTTGTAAGATGTGTGATCTTTAAGATGAACAAAAGCATATGCAAAGGTCCATTTTTAGGTTAAAGAGGGAATTTTACCACTTCAGAGGCGGAAATCCTAATAACTATATAAAAAAAAGACTAAAAGACCTTTATTAAAACGCAGCTATTCTCTTCATTTTTCTTCAAATGACTGATTTAAAGCTGATTTTAAAGATATTTTTCTAGATATTTTGGACTGCCTGTTGGCTGTGAAAAACAGGGGATACATTGATTTAAACAGTAATCAGA